AATTTCGATCGCATTAATAAATCACGCGTTAGGTGTGGCTGACTGCGCCACTAACCTGGCACACATTCAAGACGTGCCCGGACTGAAGGTCCGAAGACAACGATGTAGTTTCCGGAGAGTTAGGTAATTTACGACTAAAAAGATTTCGGGTAATGAGTTATGAAAACAGCTGTAAAAAAAAAGTCAGCCGGCCGGGTCTATTTAAAAAGTTTCATGAAGAACCAGTAAATTAAATTTGCGTGGTCTTATAATATTTATGGCATATGTTAACGTATAAATTTAAATATATATATTAAATTTTAGCTTTATGACCGGGATCCGGCATATAAAATTTATTTACTAACATAATGTATAAATTTTAATTTTCACAATTTAGCTTTTATGACCCGGCCGGATTATGAAAACCAATTCATAAATTTTATATGGCCCTTATATATAATTTTAAGTTTTGTCGATTATAATCGACAAAAATTAAAAAGTTTTTTTAGAGTTCCAATCCATTAAGCATTTATCCAGATAACTATCAGATATCGGATCTGAATTTATTCGGATATCCATTTATACCATTAATATCCAAGACCTGTCAGATTATCCGGATATTTGAATTATCCGAATAATTAGACAAAGAACTCTATTTTTTATTTTATTTTAAGACTTTGCCTGTGGATCCGCTTTTCATGCTCTAACAAAAAAAAAATCCCTCTCATGATTTTGGTATAACTCTTTTAAATCTTCTAACTCTAACCTGGCATTAGCTTACAGTTGTTTTGAATTTTGTGATGATCGTCGGCAAATTTCAGTAATTATCGAAGAATTAATTATCGACGATCATTAATTTCGAAATCTGCTTAACGCAGGCCGATGTGTCGATCAATCTAGGCCAAATGATTGACAAAACCTGGCACAGATTTTTTATTTCGTTGTTATGATAAAGGATAGTATTTATCCTGCTAATTTATTTTAAAAATATTACAGGCTTATTTAAACTAATACAGTAAGTAATTTTTTTATTACAAAATTAATTTGCTTGTACGTATAGTGATTAGGATTTGAAAATCTATATTCGAATGTTGGCGATTAGGATTTGAAAATCTATATTCGAATGTTGGCCATATTTTCTTGATGTTAATCATGGCGAAATATATAATAGATAAATATAACTTCTTCTTTGGTTGGTTTCGATAGGGTGTTAGATCAAATCTAATTTTAGAAGTGTGTATGCAAACGACTTATATTGGTATAGATGCATTACAATATATTATCCAAATTCGGATTCCAAAACTGAGATGAAAGTCCTATCGGTATTTATATTTCACAAATTTTGCAAAAAAAAAACCTCCGGGGTACAAAGGTAGTATCGAATAAAATTTGAGTACTTATGTCTGCTTTAGACTTTTTAATACGTACGTAATTTACGTCTTTATCATTTTTACGTAGTTTTTAATCATTAAGTGATACGTAATGATAGGCGTTTTACATTATGTGATAATTAAACGTTAATAAAGATGGGAATTATTAATGTTCTCAAACACGTTTTACACAAAACCCTTGTTTGCTCAATAACGATAAACTTGGTAAAACGATAATCATAGTTCTAACTTTAATACTACGTAACCTAAATATAACACGTGAGTTTGAATGTTTATAAATAATACTATCAAATATGTGATAAATCTTGAAAATTGTAACACCGTTAATCCTCTCTTTAATAGTTTGTGATCATCAGAAATATAATAAATCCTTGTTCTTTAATCCTAAAATATCATCCCATTCTTTCCCGTTAAGGTGCTAAAGTGTCGTTCGGATATTGTGCCAAGGGTATTTCAAATTTAAAGTAACACCTGAATTTATTATATAACACAACTAATATTATTAATTTTTTCTAATTAATCGTTTGAACAAGTAAACTTCAAAGAAAATGATGCACGCATTACAAAACTAATTTCTTATTCGAATATGGTTAGTAAAAAGTTAACTTCTTATTAATTTGCTAGAGATAATTTGCATAAATAAAAATGCCACAATATATGTGTATATATGTATGTTATGTATGCTTAGCATAATTTTTTTCAACTTGATTGATTCATAATATCATGTGAATATTGGTAATACATTGTACATGCACTATTGATATATATATTTATTATTTACTAAATCTTGTCTAACAAGAGAAAGTATCATGTTTGTTTTCCGAAATGAATTGGAAATACGATCTGTTGTCGATCACAATTTGGAAAAATGTGACAGAATATAAAGACCCGACGGATCCATGCATAAATTTATAAGTACTTCTACAATTGGTTCGATGCACTAATTTAACACGGCGCATGCGCATTCATATAAAACAGTACTTTCTATTTACTGCTGGCGTTTGAATAATATACGATATGAATTAGCGTTAACATTTCCTGACTGTATTCTTTCCATTGTTTTCTTCTTTCGTTTTCAAATTAATAAACCCTAAATTTTCTTTTTTTTTTTTCTTTTTTAATCGAATCCATAAGGCCAAGATATTTGCCCTGCGCAACTTCGTTGAGCCTTTGGGTAAAACCTTCCTTTATGCAGCCTCTCACTCGGTGCGCCAACTACCCATAGTAACAACAACTGTTTTCTCTCAAAAATACCCTTATCATCCTTCTTTCCGAGCTTACATTTTCTTCACAGAAAACATATATCACTTATAACATTAAATATTAATAAAATATAAATGAAGAAAAGACGGATTTTTTCAATAATATGGCTTTTAGCCATTGTTTTATACTTGATCATGTTGGCGCATTCGAGTGAAGCTCAAAGTCAGGAAATGGAAACGGTAAAGGGTGAGCAGGACTCTCCTTTTCATCGCCGTGCTAATAAGTCAACAACCTCACAAGACGATAATGCTAAGTCTTCGTCTTCTAAACCTGATAACCAAACTTCCAACTCAAAAAATAATGCTAATGGGTCTGATAAGCAGACTTCAAAACAACCGCAAACTTCTGAACAAAAAAGTTCCTCAAAAAATAATGCTGAAAATTCTGATTCACAACCTTCTAAGAGTACCACAAATAATGTTGCTAAAGAATCTAATAATGAGCCATCTCCAAAACAGACGCAACTTTCAAAGAGTCCTCAAAAAAATGGTGCTGAAAAGTCTAATGTGCAATCTCCCCAAGTTTCTGAGAAGAGTACGTCAAAACAACCGCAAAATTCTGAACAAAATAGTTCCTCAAAAAATAATGCTGAAAATAATTCTAAAAATTCTGATTTACAACCTTCTAAGAGTTCCTCAAAAAATGGTGCTAAAGGATCTAGTAATGAGCAACCTCTAAAACCGACGCAACTTTCTAATAGTTCCTTAAAAAATGTTGCTAATAATGAGCAACCTCTAAAATCGACGCAACCTTCTAAGAGTTCCTCAAAAAATGGTGCTAAAGAATCTAATAATGTGCTGCCTCAAAAACTGACGCAACCTTCTAAGAGTTCCTCAGAAAAAGTTGCTAAAGAATCTAATGTGAAATCTCCCCAAGTTTCTGAGAAGAGTACTCAGAAAAATTCAAAAGATAATGCTAAAAATTCTGATTTGCAACCTTCTACGAGTTCCTCAAAAAATGATGCTAAAAAATCTGCTAATGTACAACCTTCAAAACAGACGCAACTTTCTACAAAAAATGTTGCTAATAATATGCAACCTTCTGAGAGTTCCTCAAAAGATGGTGTTAAAGAAACTAATAATGTGCAACCAAAACAGACGCAATCTTCTAAGAGTTCCCCAAAAAATGGTGCTGAAAAATCTAATGTACAACCTCCCCAAGTTCCTGAGAATAGTACCTCAGAACAGACACAAATTCCTCAGAAAAATTCAAAAGATAATACTAAAACACCTGATAAAATATCTGAAAAACCGACACCCACTTTTCAGAAAGGTTCGTCACAAAATAATGCTAAAGAGTCTCTAAAACCAATACCCACTTCAGGGAAAGGTTCATCACAAAATGATGTTAAAACATCCGATAAACTACCTCTAAAACAAATACCCACTCAAAATGTCGCTAAACCATCTTTTGAGAAGGAATTAAAGCAAACACCCACTTCGTCTCAAAATGATGATGTTAATCAGATTTTAAAATCGACACACACTAATCAGAAAGAATCTTCAAAACCAACATCCACTTCAGGGAAAGGTTCGTTACAAAATGATGCTAAAACATCCGATAAACTACCTCCAAAACCAACACCCACTGAAAATGATGCTAAGCCATCTTTTGAGAAGGGTTTAAAACAAACTCCCACTTCGTCCCAAAATGATGTTAATCAGATTTTAAATCCGACACCCGATAAACTACCTCCAAAACCAGCAACACCCATTCAAAATGATGCAACACCATCTGTTGAGCAGGTTTCAGCAATTAATAAAAAAGTTATACCTACAGATCATGCTTCGACTACTTTGCCGTCATCAAGGACTACTGCAACTGATGCAGCTGCAAAGAAACCATTAGATAAAATAGCTACTTTGTCCTCATCAACAACGATACCACAGAAGAATGAAGCAAATACATATATGAATACTAAAACAACTAATTTACCAGGAGTGACACCTTATATTGACTCAGCATTAACTAAAGCAACTGCATCACTTTCAATTGATGCAACAAATACAGCGCATTTACCTGATGCAGCTGCGGAGAAAACATTAAATAAACCAACTACTTTGTCCCCAACAGCAACGAGACCACCACAGAAGAATGATGCAACTACACCAAAGACGGCACCTTATATTGACTCATATGCAAAGACAGCATTAACTAAAGCAACTACATCAACGACGGCATCTTATGTTGATTCATATGCAAAGACAGCATTAACTAAAGCAGCTACACCAACGACGGCACCTTATTTTGACTCATTTGCTGGAAAAACTAAAGCAACTATTTCAGCGACAGCAAATATACCACTTGATGCAACTGCTTCACCGTTATCAATAACTAAAGCAACTACTTCAGCGACAGCAAATATACCACTTGATGCAGCTGCTCCAATGACAACAACTACGACACATTTGGGTGAAATAGCGCTTGTAACTAAATCATATACTTTAATGTCATCAGAAACTCCATCACCTTTATATAAAACAGCTACTTCAACAACGATTAATTACGGACCTATTTTTCCAACTATTCCAATTATTCGCGTCAGCACAACTGCTGAATTACCAACTCCAAGTATTACATCAAATCCTGGAAAAATAACGGATTATCAATCATCAACGAGTACTGCTCCGTCCGTTACGCGTACCAAACCGCCTCATCCCACAGCCAAAGATGATGATGGTGATGATGATGATGATGGTGGGGTCACACCTCCAAAAAAAACTACTCATAAAGATAAGCCTTATATTCCTGTAATAACTGGCTCGCTTCCTATAGCTCCCGTGGCGACAGAGCCTGCGAAAAATACTGCACCATCAGATGACAACTTACCTTCAGTTATTGTTACCTCAACTGATCCCTCCAGTTACACACAACGTAAATTAACGATGTTTATTAATTTTTAATGTACTATTTTAATTTTAAACAATACTAATCAATATTTCTTAATTTAAAAAGCGGACACTAGTCGTTTTACCGTAAAGATAAATCTATTGTGGCCTTCGGTTGTAAATGACTCCGAATTTCCTCCGGTACTATGCAATGTGTTACCAAATAATATAGCGGATTTCTTTGGTTTCTCGCCAAATAAAATAAATGTAACTCAATTAAAACGTGCACCAGATAATACTTGTTTGGCGGATATGGTAGTTGCAACATCGAATGGTAATGAAATTATAAAGACTTTAAGTAATCCTAAAAGCAAATTTTATACTGGTGTGCCAGATGATCAAAAACTAGTTAATAGTTTAGTGAATCCTCAGTTTCCCATGGCTTTACAAGGTTAGTGTAATTAATTAATGGTATGTAGTATGTAGTTAATATTAGAAATATGTTTACTATCCAGCTTCTTTTTTTTTTTAGCGAATTCAGCGGAAAACGCCCAAGCAGCTGATCAGAATTTCAATACTTCACCCAACTCTCCATCGGGAAGTGGTAGTCCTCTTGGAGCAATTGTTGTAGTAGCAGTGGTTGGATCTACATTATTGTATGCTGGATTAACCGCACTTGTGGTTCGAGCTTATAAAAGAAGTAAAAATAGGGCATCTGCAATCAGACAGGATTCGTATGACACGTATTCTGGAAATCCTTGATTTAAGGTAAAGCTGTAAATTTTGTGCTTTACAGGTTCATACATAAATGGAAATTGTACAGTACAGAGTTAAACTTATTTAAAAGACTGTATGTATATATATTTCCTTTTTAAATTTCGGGAATTTTTTATAAAGTTTGTTGAAATTTTAGCAATAGAGTGGTTGTTTTTCTTTATTGGTTTTGTATAATTGTTTTCATTTGTATTCACTAGGTATTTCGGATTTTGAACAATTGGTGTTTTTTGAGCTTAGCTATTATGCTGAGACTTTGTTGTAATGGAAAAAATTGTTTTTTTTAAAAAAAAAATGTGAATAGAACATAGATGTATTGTTTTTTTTACAATCACTAGTTAGTTTTTGTAATATTAATTGTAATAATATATACTAGTAATATTTTTAATTTGATCTTTAATTTGATATTTCTTATACAATCAAGGTTCCGAAATCTAGTAGCATATTGATTTTTTTTTTTTTTTTTTTACAAAAAATGCCTATTTTAAAATTTTTTGAAAATTTTTAGGAGTTTGAAAATAAAATTTAAAGTTTTAAAAATTAGTTCTTACATCTTTATATATTTTTTAAAATAAAAGTTCTATAAATATAATTGCTTTTTTATATTAAATTGAATTTATTAGCCAATCAGATGAACTTCTAAGATTAATTGATTACAATTTTTTGCCCAACTACACCAAATTTTAGCAAAAAACTATTCTATTATTAAATAGGCGGTATATATGATAACTTACAATTTTGCTTATGAAACTACTTTTCGGGTTTTAACAAAAAATAATTTATATAAAATTTTAGTATAAAATATTTTCAAATCTCTAACTCTAACCCTAATATTAAGTAGTTTTTTTTTATTATCCCTTAAACCGTATTCCAGACAAATTTGCCTGGAAAATTGAAAAGTATTTACAAATTTTTAAATAAAATTAAAAATTA